TATGGAAAATTCATTCACCGATTATGCGCATCTCTAAAAGTATCTTGGCCTCCTATTGAATATGGGATGGCCTAATCTGATAACGATTTCCAGACGGCCAGTATGAATCAGCACAGGGGATTCGTTAGCAAGTTTGCTGACGATGTTGGTAATTAGGTGTTTCTTTCATTCACACGTCCACAGTATGAATATTTTTTTGTAAGCGAAAAATTTCTTATCATCTTCTGATGTACATTCATACAGAATGACACTTACCAGAGTAATAAAATACAACAAGAACGTCATGTTTAAGGCAAACGGAGAAAAAAACATCGTTCATGAAAAATCGTTTTTCGCAGTTGTTGGTTGCAGATCCAATTCAATTGATTATCATAATTAATTTTCTTTCGAAGATAATAAGTTAATAACATCTCGCTGAAACATAAAACGCAAATGTTTCATTGCAATGAAATACTAGTCCACGTACAGCTGATATGGTGTCAAACAATGTATTTAGCCTAGTGTTTCCCATCTTTGTAAAACAGCGGATTACACAAACAAGTTTTGTTAAACACGCAAATATTTCATTTGAATGTCTTAATAACAAATTACAGGTGAATGCTATATATATTGACGTTGGTAAATCGTTCAATATTGTTTTTGTGTGCGGAGAACTTGTAAAATGCCGCGAGAGTTATTTCTTGAACATGGCTCTTGCATTCATGTGATTTTCGGGGCACCCCTGTTCAATGCTAGGACCTTTATTCTTTGTTTTCATCTATAAATGATTGACTCCAAATATGCCATCCAACATTGGCATTGTTAGTCCCCGTTCCGACGCAGTCCGAAAACGGACTTGTGTCTGAGCATCCGTGCCTGCGTGTGTGCGTTCTGACCCATATCTTAGGTATGCCTACACCAATCACATTCAAACTTCACACATACTTCATACATAATATTATACATATGCAAATGGTTGTACTGAAAAATCATCACAATCAAGCATTTCTGGCATCTCGGCCGTTTACAGATATACAATAGACATTATGGGACCTTGATGCACGTCATTTTGTGTATTCAGATTAATGAAGGCTGACTGGCGGCCATTTTGTTTTAATGAATGCAGTTCTAAAGCAATATCTCTAACATGCTATATGATTAAATTTTATATATTCATTATACATCAGTTCATATATATACATATGTGGCCATTTTGTTTTAATTAATGCTGTTCCAGAGCAATATCTCACAATATGGACAAGTACTCGTTTAATGATCAGATACAAGATGACTGAATGTCAACCATCTTAATGTTAAATTATCCTAATCAAGCATCATCTTCTGGATCCATATCTCTGACATGTTTATGTTCCAACTATATTACTATAAACGAAACTATATATCTTAAATCTGATAACTAACGGGAACTGTGCCATGCATGGTTTAATTATTATATGTTATTGATGCAAAGTCGTTCCAGATTTGAAAACCGTATGATACATATTAACGTTAATCAGTACAGTTTTATGAATATTACAACGTATGTCGATGCGTTCCCACAGTGTCTCAGTGCCTCAGTGCATAGCTCACGTTGACGAACCTTTCCCTGATATCGGATTCTGAAAGTCAACCGACTATTCACAGTAAGTAAACACTGTCATGGTAGACACTAAAATATCCCAATATCAAAATAAACAAATTAAAATGAAAACACACTGTAGCACTCTTATTTACTGAATAGAATAATTAAATATTACGCATATATGTGTGGTATTAGTAATAAAGTCAGTTTTATCAATGATACATACACGAAAGAAATAAAAAATGTACGTCAATATTTGTTTGCAAAAATATATTATCATATTTAAGAGTTGCCACGGAAACAGTATTCAGAATCATTCAATATATAAATGATTCATCTGAAGTTATTTGGGATTTTTTTCAAAAAATTGCAAAATAATGGTTTTGAAATTTATCAGTCTGTTTATGATTCACTCGAACACCAATAAAAGAAGAATTTAAATTTCGAATAGACATTTCAATACGTTCAGTTGTTTTTATGAACTGAAAATACAGAATTTTATTTCCTTTTAACTTGGCGACATGACTGTCATTGACAAAATTAGTTGCATACATGCACGAGGTCATGTATCCCAGGAAAGCGAACGAACGGTCAGGTCAAACTGTCATGGTAAATTGACAGTAAAGAAATGGTTACAAAATACGCTATATATAATATTATGTGTGCAAATATGTATACGATAAACGTCAGTTCACTGAGGAATTGATGTTTGCAATCATAATGTGACAGGCGAGGATTTCACAAAAAATAATTCGAATTAGATATATCCTCACACATCTTCAATTATGTTTTAAATATTTGAGCATATTGCACAAACTCAATAGCTAGAAAATATGTTGAAGTGAATGTGTTTCCGACGTGGCATACAAGTGTGAATACTGAGCGTTATGTTGACTTTATTGAAGCAAAATTCAACTGGGCTGAATGCGGGCGAGTAAGCTGTGATGGATATGATGCAGTTCTGACATAACACACTCATCAACTCTATCGAGGCACTGTCGTATAAAATGCAAAGTACATTTAATTTGACACTCTGTATGAAACTGTTAACGAAGGCTCCTTTCCATAATCCACTGATGCCATATTACGATTGGGGTCGAAGCGAAAATCTTTTTTTACTCATAAACTGTTGTCGCCATATATAGATATTTTGTAGGAAGTCCATGTATGCTTCGGTGTACCATGCACCACCTTTATAACCACTGGTCAGACCTTATTTAAGACGTATGTGTGGTGTGGTTGGTCATCGCATTACTTTATTTAGTGATCGCAAATAATGTATTATTACAATAATTTTAATCATGCGAACATAAGTAACTAAGTAATAAACTCACACAAATGCTTTAAAAACTGTGTTACATTTTTTTGATTTTGCTGTAACCTAATTGCTGTACACATTAGACTACGTTAGACTGGAAAGCATAGGACCGGTCGCGTGACGTATTACAGACTGTCAATTCAGTTTGAATAAACGCAATAGTTATTTGACATATAACGTGCGGACGGGTTTGACGTTTATATATGCAAATATTTATACAACAAAGGAATGTTTCCGAAATCACATTTTTAATGCGAACGTGACAAGTGGTAAGCTTTTCAAAATAAAAATAGAATCATGTCGCGTTAAAGTGAAGGTATAGCGTATTTGTCAACTGTCAATATAACTACAAAAACACTTACATTTATTTAGCAATAAACGAACTCATACTATGTCTAATAACGTATTTTAAATCGTAGAAGGATGACACACCAATCTCTTGAAGATAGTGTTTTATATAAGATTAACCTATATATTTGTAATGAATGACATGTCTGTATAAATCTGGATACACGTAACGTTCCAAATACGACGCTCGGTCGATTGCGGTGCGCCGGGTTCGATGTGATCAAGACCTCAACATGTACATACGGTAGTCGAAAAGTGGAATTAAAGGTCGATATTAAAACATGCACTGTGGCAAGTGAATTTATTAATTATTGTTTTGTTCAGTAGTTGATCAAAAGGTCCACACAGAAACGAACGGTCTCTGTGTGGTCATTATGGAATTTCGGCATGCACTCCACTGACGACTGGATATCAATGCGACTGGTGGCGAGTTTCTAATAATCCTACAATTTGTGGGTTTATGAGGGTGAATGTATTCATAACGATTCCAAGGGCGATGCAAATAAAGGCGTAATACAAATTAATTTCAAAACAACAAACCGCAGGGTCTAATATTTGTCTTGCATCCCGACTCCCCATCAGTCCAAAACAACTAATTATTTTTCGTTGAGTTGCTGTGAAACAAGGTCGTCGTGCTGAGGAAAGAGTCAAATCCTATATGAAATTGTACAATACCATTATTGAAAGAATCGTGCCAAGTCGTATCTGAGCCCCATATTCTCTCATTCGAAAATCTGTGTCATCGCCATTGTATGAGGGAAAAAATGGGAGAGAGAAAGCGAAGAAAACAGAGCGATTTGGAGTTGATGTACTGTTAAGTTACATTTAGAGAATAATTGGCGTGTGCTTGTTAATCGTTTCTTCCATTGAATTGTGGACATGCCTGAGATCAAACTGGGGAACAAACTAGAAATCTAATTTTATCAACAAAGCGAAAATAATTTCCTCGGTGTACCACAACGTCATACAGTTATTTTCCCTTTGTTTAATTGTAAGGTTATTCTATGTTCTTTTTTTGATTGTTTTGTATAAACAAAGACTGAAACAGGATTCCTGTTGCTGACAATTATAGTTGATAATAGAAATGCCATTGTTAAACCAAACGCTACTAATATATTAATTAACAATATATTAATTAAATCTAAGTTATTTCAAACGTAATAAACAAACACACTCTATTATTGCACGTTCTTATGTGTAATTGTTCCCCCCAAAATGACTGACAGTTCTTGTGTTTAGAAAGTCGTTAGGCCACATCACTGAAATAGAGGGATGGATGTTGTACAACACGCAGTAACACTTTATTATTCTAATATTCAGTTTTCACATAATTGTCATCATTGGAAAAAGCTGCATGCGACGATTGTTACGTTAATTTGTGTAAATGCGTACGATGTTGTGATCTGCTGAACATGACCGCTGTCTGCAATGACCAAATATGCACACCCCCATGAGTTTAGTGGAACACTCCAACAACTTTGTATAAATATGACTGCGAAATAAACGCAGTACTAAACCTTTCGGGCGCAATAACAACCAAGATGAAGTTTATTATCTTCTTTTCTGTCGCTGCCATTGGAATGGTCAGTGCTGCTGGTATTATCAAGGTATGTCGTATTTTATTTCAAGTATCATTAGTCCTTTACGCGTAAATTTAAAATACAACAAAATGTTTTTGAGCGACTGGAAATAAACCCTATTCTTGTTGAATATAGATCGTGGTTATCAACATTGCAGTGTAAAACACTCAAGGCTTATATGTATTTAAAAAAAAAAAAAATAATGACACAAACATACATAAATCACTAAAAGCGCCCTGCTACCGCAGACAAATGCGCTACTTTCCTCTGTACTCTAACAATACCCTAAAATTCAGCTCAAGGTAATGTGTAATTAAACGCGGCCACGAATTGATCAGTTGGACATGTGAGTTCTGGACAATACAAACAATATATTATATGTTCACACACATATAAAGCCATGCAAATCATGGTTTAGAATAATCGTTATATTTTTTATTTTACACAGCATGACAAGAGCACTACGAGGGCCCGTCGTGAAGAACACCCATTGGCTTTCCCAGGGTGCATTAGTGCTTTTGGGGAAAACTACCCTTATAAGTGTTCCAGTGCAGCGTTGTGTCTCTATTGCCCTGGCGACATCGGTGATGGTGTATGTCAAGTATGCAATGGAAACAGTCAGTGTCCAAATGGCGAAGACGAAGAGGGGTGTGAAGGTAAGTAGTATTCTAACATGAGACAATGTTTTAATTGTCGCAGCGTGTAAGGCTACATTTTCCATATGCCCATTACACAATATTTACAGAACAGAAGTGCAGATATAATGAATTATTGTTAGATGCAAATTTGTAATCGACTAGTATCGGCGTGAATCGGAAAAGCTTTTAATGTTGTCACTCGGAAAACCTCATTTGATCAGTTAGCATACGAACAGGTTCAACTAGTTAATTCATAGTAGGAGCAACTACCAGACGTATGTGTTTGAAAACAAAAAAATAAGAGAAATTGGTTCAAAGTTCATGGAGCCACGTCTTGTCGGGGATTTCGCATTTGTTTTAATGCATGTGCGTTCACGCCCCAAAACGCGTATTGTAACTACACTTATATTCCCGCAGTTTAACATGAACGCATAGGTTCATTTTGTCGTCAAAAGTTTTTATTTCAGTGCGATTAATTGTTTCTATATAAATCAGTGCAAGATATAATGTATGCCGTCTAATGTTTTACGTCAACAAGGAAACATTTCACAGCAATCATTTCCGGCTCGTAATTTCGCGAAATCCACACAAAAGTGTTAATGGAGACAGTATTATTATTATTATTATTACGAGATTTGGAAAATATACTTGACAGGTATTTGAACTTCTGACAAATATTTTACTGGGACGCGTCGTTCCGTTCTGCAAGCTATCTATTTTTGTACTTTTTAGTGAGATCCACTACAGGTACTTTATTGAGGAATATTTTATTGGGGAATGTTTTTATTCAGATAGTAACCAATGATTATCTATTAGTATAAGTCGTCCGTCATTTTATTTAACAAAACAAAAACACAAATATTACGACCCAATGTTTTGAAATCGACGTTTTGATGAAATGCTAACCATTTATATACGCATTTGAAGTTTAAAATGTTCATCGCTAATTATCTTGGAATAAAACCACGGTTTTTTTTAGTCTGCTTGCGAAAACTAGGGACCGTACCGAAATTTAAGCCATGAACATTCTTGCATCAATTTTCATGTAGCACGAAACTCTCCAAAGCTCCCCGGGGACCCAGGATACCAGGCCGGAAACCGCCGGTTTGATTATGATCAACTCCAAAATGCAAAGAAATGTGGAACGCACACTGGAATGACAGAGCGAACAGGGGAATGACATGATGCCTTGTGACATTGCATATCGTTGCATTTAATGGCATGCTGCGTGTGGAGTGCTATATCGTGTTGCCGTGATAAGGAGTAGGTTGGCATAACGCATCGTGATATTGCGATATAAATGCTCAAACGACACTCAAATACGACATTCAAATAAAACATCATGTTTTTGCTTAATCTACTACTGATATAAACATGACTTGGCATCAGAACACCACGTAGCATCTGTAAATATCGACTGTTAACACGAAAATAACAATTCCATTTTTCTTTTACAGTCAGTGATGTTCCTTTCTTGAATGCCATATGCCCAAGCAACTATCCCTATAGCTGTGCCACAATGGGATCGGCCAATACTGTCTTGTGCATCTCAGAAGAGCAGATTTGTGATGGGATATTCCAATGTAGCGACGACAGTGACGAGTTTACGTGTGGTATGTATTTCACACCTGTCTGATTTCGTACATATAACACAAATACTGTTCCGATAAAATCAGCAAATTGTCTAATCTCGTGGAAAAGTGCCACAAATGGCCCACACAGAATTATTATTAACATCCTTTCATTTCGTTCGTTCTTAGATTATTCGGAAGCTTATGGGGACGCTGGCGGTCAATGTCAAGTACCAAACCAATCTAAAATAGGAACCGGAGGTATGGCGGTCTTACAGTCTCAGATGCTTGAAGCGCACAACTACTTCAGATGTCTTCATGGTTCTGTTGCTATGACAACATCACAGACTGCAATTGACGATGCCATAATAGCTGCTGCAAACTGCACCGCCGCTGGAACGATGATTCATTCATATCCAGGAGAGAATATCGCTTCGATATCGAGTGAGATTTCAGAAGCTACAGGTATTGTTTTGTTAACGTGAGCGCTTGACATGAAACACGGAATATTTCTGCGTTGTAGCAATTAGAAGTTTTAGTTTGTTTCTCTGTCTTCATGTTCAATGCGTCATAATTGTCCACAGTTATAGTTCTTGTTTTGTAGGTAGTTGTTATAAAACATATATAAAGACATATACATTTTATATAAAATATATATATACTGCCAATTTTGAAAAATTTCTTTCTGTAACCTCCATGTTCTTAATTTTAGGTTATGGTCTGACTAAACTGTGGTATGATGAGATTGCAGACTACAATTACAATGACCCTGATAGCAGCACTGGAATTATCGGTAAGTAAATTGTTTTTCTTTTTGTTTAATATTAATACGTATCTATAGATGATTGGAATATTACTTTACCTAATACGTTAAAGAAAGTCGTTAAACCTTCTCATTTCGTGTTATTAATTGAGTCTGCGAGTCTTCTGAAATCTCACATGGACAACAAAGGCCTGCGGTTAACATTTCAGAACATCAGTATGACACATGTTAGAGATTTGGTTGCAGAAATTTGAAAAAAATCAAATAGCATATGCCTAAGATTTGGTTTTGGATATATCAAAATACTGAGTTATTTTAAATGTTTGTTAACACTAAATAGTCAGCAGACGACCAACTTTGATTAAATGACAATATTGTAGATATAAATTTTAAAGTGAATTTATGGAGATATATATGTATGGATGAAACATAATTTGTCAAAAACAATATGGTGGTCAGTGACATACATCAACTACATGGTTTTAGAGTATAATTACAATAGTGAAATGACCTATTATTCTACACCTACTTGTCCAATACATAATCCAATTATCCCACATGACAGTTTGTGACTACTCAGTTTGTTATTTCTAACTTTTTAGGTCACTTCACTCAAGTAGTGTGGGCAGCAAGTACTAATCTTGGATGCGCCTACAACGTGGATACCGTAAACGATAGAGTCTACGTCGCATGCGAATATGAACCATATGGTAACTACAATGGCCAGTACACCAGTAATGTTAACACACCTATCTAATAAAAAAAATCACATTACTCCACGTGGTATTCACATGACGTCACGTGACACTTATTGATTTGTGTCACATGACATATTCATAGCCAATAAAAGTACAGAGTAATATGTATTTGTTTGTTTGTCACTTTATTTACCATTTGAATGTGTGTGTCAAAATAGTATCTTTATTTGTTTATTGTGGCTGCTTTGGTGCCTAAATTAGTTTTTCACACTGAAAACGTTGTTCCGACGACGTGCACAGACTGATAATGGCTCGACGAGGAAATTATAGTCGGCCCACGTACCCCAGTTTGCTTATAGACAATGAAGTCGACTGTTTGGTGCAGTGGTAAGCATATGAGTTCAAATGTGTCCCTAGGTTGAAATTCCGCAAGTTTTTGAATAACTAAAACTCATCTGCACAAGCGCCGTGTACAGAAGAACAACATACAATGTTACTTTGGTTACGTGTAATTATCCACGGATAATAAATTTGTGGTTCTTGAACGTCATGTGTTCTATAAATAGAACAATACAGTATACAACCGTTAATGCAATGGAATGGTAAACACTGACTATATAGGAATGAACAATTTGTATAATAAAATAACAGTGCATGTGCAAACATTATACCATAAAAACATGTAATTCAAACTCGGAATCAAATAATTACAATCCCTTGCCATGACAGGCAGTTGCCATACATATCACACCACCCTCAGTATGTTCCAAAAACGACGCTAAAAATGTCATGCAGTAAATTGCACATCTCAATAACTGGATGGTAATGCACAAGCTGAACCCCAAACATCAAAATGAACATTTAAGGCTTTGCATTCACGACACTACTGTAACTCAGTTATGACCGTAATCGGGTAGCACCAGCAGAGACAAATACCGAGTTATTTTATTAATTATACATACATCCAAACAAAGTTTGTAACAACTTATAATCACTCGTAATCACAGCAATCGCCTCGTGCCATGGCCGGGGAGCAGTTATATATTGACGTTTAAAATTTCCTTAAAGGGTGGTAGTCATCGCAGCCTGTCGTGTTCGATGTAAATAAAGCAACATAAAACGCGTGTAAAATACATTGTTTGTTTACATGAAATTCGAACACGCGGTGCGCAGCGTCCGCCGCCATTTAAACGAAACACTTAACATGGTGTAAGTTTAGGCTGAAAATTCAACAGAATAAATACATTGTTTATCATACCCACAAAAATCGCCATATTTAAAATTGTGATATTTCTAACAACTGATCTGGTTGGTCGAATTCCACCTGCTATTGTTTGGGACAATCACTCAATTTTGTGTTGAAACGCAGCGACCAAACTTGTATCAGCCAGTTGTACCAACTGATCGGTAATGTGGTTAATAATAATAATAAACTTTATTGTCATACTAGACCACCGGCCCATCATAATCTCAAGTTTACATTTCTTGAAAACAATAATAATACATAAATACATAAATGAACTGTAATATAAAATACTGTCCATCAAGAGGATAATTTTAGTGCCTCTGACCTTAACTTAAAAGCTTGATACAGGAATTTTGACAAATTACAAAGTGTAATGGGTAACTCACTTGTTATTAATTGTATGAAAGTGTGGTGTCCCTGGTCATGTAATGACTAACGTGGTAATAGCTCGTCTCTGTAGGCCTGGTATATGGGACATTCGAAAATTAGGTGTAATTCATCTTCAATTATTCCGCTATTGCATAATACACATTTCATTTCAAAACGATCTATATTATGCATACGGCCAGATTCTATTACTAATTGGTGACTCGAGCAACGAAGCCTTGATAAAGATTTCCTATGTTTGTTCACACTTACACTGATAATATATTTTTCTACAGTATAGTGTCGTTTTACCTGGCAGAACAAATTTAGGCGGCTCATAGTTGAGCATTCTTCCCGCCATTCCTGTTGCCAAATGTCCCTAATTTTATGTGCAAAATTTGCGAGGAATGCAATTTCATTTCCCACCTCTTGATTGATCCACACTATCCCAAATCCATACATATTCAAAATATTTCGAATATGCGTTACCCAGTTAATTTTACCACGTTCGTCTTCCCGTACTAAAAGAAGATACGATT